GGCCGAGGCGTGTCGAGTGGTGGACGGCGTCTCGGGGGATACCAGCATGCTCCGCCACCGCCACAAACTCGTCATAGTCGTAGATCCAGCGATGATCGTAGTTTCGAAAGATATTGTTGACGACCCGCGCGGCCGAGTAGGGCGGCCCCTTGCCGATCCCCGTGGGGGGAAATCGCGCCGCGTGCTGCTGCAAGAAGGGGTCCGTCTTCCGGTTCACGTAGCCCGACAGATACTTTTCGAGATCCGGCGTCGTGATCCGAATGACGCCGCCCGGTCTCAGCAGCCGGTACCTGCGTGCACACGTGCAGCGTCAAGCAGTGGCCGCCAGCGCCTCGGCGCTCGGGTGCCCAGGGCCGCACATTTCGCGCAAGAAGGCCGAGCCGTCCGCGGGGAGGACATGCTCGAACATGTGCTCCGAGTAGACCGCGTCGAACGATCCGTCCTCGAACGGCCAGCGGCGGCCGGCCTCTTGCCGAAGGATGAGTCGGCCAGTGCGCCAGTCCTCACAGATGAAGCCGGCGGGAAGCCCGGTGAATACCATGTCAGCGTTAAGCCAGCCGTCGCCACACTGCCAACGGGGTGGGTGGTGGAGTGAAGCAGAGGCAGCGGGCTGTCCTTAGGGCTAATGGCTAGATCAGCGGGGCTGTCGGGCAACGGTGCGGGCCACTCTTTGGAGCCTTGTTCCACCAGTCGCCTCCGACCTGCAGGTAGCGAACGCCATTCTCGGCGAGCTCGACCCGGGTCACGTTGGTGCCTTCGACTCGTCGCTGGTTACAGTCGCCGCTCTCCTCGCATGGCGACGACGGTGTGATGTCGGCTGGGCTGAAGTAGCATACGTTGCAGCTCTCCGGGTGTCCATCCGGCAGCGTCCTGCACTTATACCCGTGGACGTGCAGCGGCTCGAGCTGCGGCGCTGGTTGTGCGCTTTCACGCTGCGGCTGCAGATGGCGGGAAACGCTGGCCAAACGACCCGAGATTGCATCTTCTGCATTCTGTTCGTCAGTCTGCCACAGCTCCCTCACGGCAGTTTTGGTTGGTGGAGCATTGGACGCGGTTGGTGCGGGCACCTCTGTCCTCACCGGCACCGACATGACAGGGTAGATGAGGCAAAAGGTGCAGGCAACGAGGGCGCCGAGCACGAGCTTGTCAAACAGCATCTTTTAGAAGGGGTGCGCGAACGGCGAGGAGCTTCGCACGCGTCAACTTGCGGCTCAACTTTCCCGATGGGACTGTAGCGACGGTAGCCTGTACGTACTTTTAGCTTACTGGGAGAAAAGAGAGAGGGGGTACAAGAATGTTCACAGCCTTGTTATTCACAGATGGGTAGATAAGAAAAAGAAGCTGACGTCGCAGACAGTGAGGGTGTGAGAGGCGGACCTAAGGAAGGTCCTACATCTCTTTACCACCCCTGACCGAGCTCCCGCGCTCGACAGACTTTGGTACGCTTTCTACAGCAATGCTCTCCGTCCTCGACATTTCTCATTTGTTTGATGCCTGCCTGCCTTCTCAGGAGTTGTCGGCACGTCGGCGGCGGCGGCGGCTGATGCTTGGCGAGCACGGCTGGGAGCGGTTCACAGAGTGAGAGACAGACCCAGGGAAGGTCTTTCACTACGGCTTTACGGCTTTACCTTCAGCCCCTGCCCTGTGCCCGAGCTCAGGCTCGACAGAGGTCGGTTTGAACATTGTGCTTAGCGTGTGGACCACTTGTTCGATGTCCCGCGTCGGCGTGTGATTCACACGCCGCCACACCATTTTCCCCGAAAGAAAAGGAAGGAGGGAGAGCTGTCGATCACAGACTGATCTGTTACACAGAGCGATCGGGTGGGCTCCGTGCCTCCGTCACATCGCCAGAGTCGAGTGACCCGCGCGCGCCACAGAACCACACAGTCGAGGCCCAAATCGCCCGGCCAATCAAAATTGGCGCCACCAGCACACACCGCACAGTCAGGCCAATGACAACGGTCTGTGCACACTGCTGTTGCAAAATGGCGTGAGCAAGCAAGCCTGCGAGCTGGACTAGAAGCGGGTGCTGGGCCAACTAGACGTCCATGTCGTATGCTGCTGGAGAGGGAGCGGCAGCTCTCTGCCGCCGCTTTGAGCGCACCTCAACCTCCTCCTCGACGGGATTGCCAAACATCGCCTCCTGCACGTGCAGCGCACGGGCAAGCCGCAAAAAGTCGAAGTCTGTACTCTCGTCGACCACGGCAGCCTCACTCTGCATAGGGAAAGGGACGTGAGGAGTTGGATGCTGAGGTGCAGATCTGGTGGTGGGCAGAGAGAAAAAGTGGGCGGGGAACGGGCCTGCTCGTCCAGATACTCGACGAGCATCGCATCGTACGCGCCCTCGATCCATGCGGGCGGAGTTGCCTCGCTGCCGAGGTTCTCTAGGCAGGCCGCCACAATCGCTTGCTTGAGCTCGGCGCAAGTTGAGGCTGCCGCCGTCGGAACAGCGAGGTTAAATGTTCCGCTCTCGAGGTTGATGCTCACCCTCCACTTTGCACCCGCACGAGGCTTGCCTGAGTGAGCGCGCCCCCCCTTGTGCGGGGCGGCCGGCTCGCCCATCGTGGACGGCGAAAACTCGCGCGTGAACCCTGGCTCGGGCGCCCGCCCCACCGCGCCGCGGAGGCAGCCGAGCCACGTGCGTGAGCCAGACCGCTGCTTGCAAACGAGGACAACGAGAGCAATTGAGAAGAGGACGACCATCACCAGGGCCACCACGGCTTGCGGCGGGATTTTGTGGGTCAGGTCCTCCAACTCTGTGACGGCGCTGCCGAAGGCCGAGTTCCCATACTTCGGTGGCAGCGGGTTCGGCGGTGGCGAGGGCGGCGCTTTCGGCAGCTCCCTGCGGGGCCAGGGTGGGAGGAATAGCGTAAGCTCTCTCTATCATCACCCACTTAGCAATGCTAGAGCGCCGTCTAGTGGAGCGGGGCGATAACGTTGTGCTGCCTGCATTTGAGCGCTGTCAGCTCCGGTCCTCGACCTCGCACCACCACCGCAACGGAAGGAACTCCGGCCGAAGGGAGAGTAATCAGATCAAGCAAGACCTGCCGGCTACCCATCGGGGTCTTTTCCAGGAAGCGTGCGTTCTCCTGCGAGGTTCAGGCGTACCAGGGAAGATGAGCAAGGCGAGCGAGGCGGTGGCAACGGCGACGCTCTGCTGCGGTCGGCGCGGCGCGTCGGAAGGGGAAAAGAGGGCGAGTGACGTGGCAAGCGGGGAGAAGGGGCGGGCACGCGCCGCCCGGACTACGGTGACGTCGCTGCTGAAGCCCGGCGAGAGCGAGGATAGCGCGAGGGTGAGCACGTAGTTCGGCGACCACCTCGCCGGCTCGATCGAGATGCGGAGGTTATCGTACGACCCCTCCGAGTGAGAGCCCACAACTATTGCGTGGCCGCCCAGATGACAGCCGCTCATAGCACGTACCGTCCGCGGCGGCGGCGGAGGCATCGGAGCTGGGCTTGGCGACGGCGGCTTGGGTGGCGGCGGCGGCGAGGGCGGGTATTCCTTGTGACAGACGATTCGCGGCTTGCTTGCGGTGGGCTTCACTAGCTGAAAGACCACCTTGGGAACGCCAGCGCCGCCCGAAACGCCCCCATGGTCGCGGATCAGGTCGAACCGAATCACCGTGCCGCACGGCACGTGGCTGCAGTCTTGCGAGACTTGGTCGACTGCCGCATTCTCAACCATCACGCTGCGCCGCACCGCCTGGCCCGCCTCGTGGAAAGTGACCGAGATCTCGCGGTCGTCCTCCCAGCGGTCGAGCAGCAGCTCTCCGTCCTCGCCGCCGGGCCACGAGTGCCGCACGTGGTAGCGCACGCCGAGGTCGCATTCGTCGGTCTCCGCCTCGTCGTCCCCGCCGTCGCACGAGATGCCCGGACTCGGATTTAGCGAGCCGGTGCCCTTGAGGGTGATGCGGCGACCAAAGTCATCGGTGCCAGCGAGCTCGAGCTTGAGCATGTGCGCCGCCGACTGCACCACCGTTGCACCAGAGAGCTGCTCCACGTGGATGTTGCTGTTGCTTGGCCACCTGCGGGCAGCGGCAGCGGCACCATCCCTCAGGCTTTCCGAGCCTTGGCCCCTACCCCCCCCCTCCCCCCAAACCCCCGGCCCAACGGCCATGGCCACATCGTTCCTGCCCTTCTAGCCTTCCTGGTTCCCATCAGTGGAATAGGCAGGTGCGGGCACGAACGTCATTGTCAGAGTCATCCATGGCCGCCATACAGCAACGTCCACGATGTACACGAAATGCTTGAGTCCTGTGCCCAGATCGTGCCACACGTTCGAGCCGCCCGGGTTGATGCTAGCGCACGGCTGGCCCAGCGCCGCCGGCACGAAGAGCAAGAGGATCGGGCAGAGGCGCATGACGGCGGTGCACGGCGGGCACATGGTCGACTTGTTCGGGCTCGGGGTGGGGGCGGGGGGGGGGGGGGGGGTCTGAGGTTTACACAATCACAGAGTCGTGTTGTCCGAAGTCGCTCTCAAAATTTGTCCCTGGCCTGTCAGCGGTGTAACACATCTGTTCTCTCTCGTTCGTAAAAGAGAGCCTCCCCCCCCACACACAATGCACACGGGCGGGGACCAGTTCCTTTTTACCTATCTCACAGTAGAGAGGTGTCCGTTTTTATTTATTTATTTACACAATGAACACTGAAAATGTGTGTAAAAATAAGGAGAGAGTACAAAAATTTGAAACCTGAAGTGGTACCTTGTAGTGAGCCGTTGGGCTCGGAGTGTGTGATGAAGGGTACGTGAGAACGCACGATCAAAAGAGACGGGGCGGGGATTGATTCCCAAGAGAGCCCCGGCGGGCTTGTGCACATACCTGCGGGGTGCTCCACTGCACCCCACCCACGGGAGCCTCAGCGTGGCCCACATGCGGGCCCCTGCCCCTCTCTGGACATGCGCCCCAAGCACCTCCGCGCGCGCAAGCCCACGGCGTCTATAGCACAACACCCCCGGATGGCATGCGCCTTGGCGGCGGGCGCACCAGTTCTCCGGGCTCTCAGGATGCGCCATGGTGCACACCGGCCGCCGCAACTTCGCCCGCCGCCGCCCTCCTGGCGGACGAGAAGTAGATGACGGAGTGTTCGAGCGAGCCCTGCTGGGCGCAGTCGCTCAGGCGCGGACGAGGTGGGCACGCCGCCCTCCCCTCGGCGGGAGGCTTTGGCTTGACCGGCCGCCGGACGTCGCGAGGCCCGTCCTCGGTGTAGAAGCCGACCAGGATGAGCCGCTCGCCGAGCAGAATGTCGCTGCCGGCGTGGATGAGGTGGCCGTCGTGCACGAGGGCGACGCCGCTGGCGGGGCGGACGACGAGGCCGTCGAGCTGCAGCGACTCGCGGTTGGAGGTGCCCGTGGTGAAGAAGGTGCCGCCACCCGCAAAGGTGCTCGGCGCGGAGAGGCAGCAGTTGAAGGTGAGCGCGGTGTCGTCCGAGTGCAACCGAAGGCCTCGCTGCTCGGTGACGCGGTAGCGCACGATGAAGAGGTTGCCTGGCTTGGGGTACGGGTTCTTCTCGAGCTTGCCCGCCAGATGCGGATAGTGCGCCTTGGCAAACGGAACCAGCCGCCGCTTGATGGCGTCGTAGATGAGCGCCTGGCTCGCGCTGGAGAGCTGGCTGACGCACATGTCTTGCGTCGGCAACGATACGCCTCGACTCTCCCACTTGACGCACGCGCGGCGGGACTCGCTGGCGATGGCTGCGGCGGCTAGAGGGCTCAGGAGCTGCACGGCGTGCAGCTCAGCCGGCACCCTCGGCACCCGGTGGCTTCCTGCCAGCGGGCTGGGCCGGTCGGGGATGCATTGCGATGGACAGTCCAGCTGACCAGGCCAGTACCGAATGGAGAGCGGCACGGGATGCATGTCTCCGGGCATGAAGACGGCTGCCTTGAAGCACGTGCCCGCGCAAATATGCACCGTGTCCAGGGGCGCTCGGCAGAAGGCTGCCCGTGACGCTCCAGCTATCACCACCTTCAATTCCTGGCCGTCCTCTCTGGGTGCCTCCGCATCCGTGAGGCGGGACGGCCAGCACGCCTTGTACGATACGCCCAGGCGCTCCATTTTTGACAGCATCTCGGTTGTCTCGCCCCCGGAAGCACCGGGGGTCAGCGGTCCGTGTCAGCAGTCAAGGCTTCGGCGGCGGCCGACAGAACTTCCGTCTGCTTGACGTCCCACTTTCGGAGAGTCAAAAGTTGGATCATGCGGACACGCGGACACCCTTGAGCCCACCCTTGTGAGCCGAAAGTATTTCTCTTCTGTGGTGTGGTGTACCTTACCTGTACCGGTGTTGGTGCCAGCGCGCCATCGAAGCGCGCCAATCCCGTGCCCAGTGCTGTGCGAGGGAGTTTCGTCGTAAATAAAATTATTTTGTTACTTGCTTGCTTGCTCACGTCGTCCCGCGCGAGGAATGTAGAGCCTACAGCTCTACTTGAGTACAGCGCTCTCCAGCGCTCTATCTAAATCTCTACAGCTCTACACAGTGCTCTTACTACACTCTACCTCCTCTACCCTCCCCTCCACACTGAAGGTCGGCCCTTGGAGCACTTGGAGTGCAGTCATCAACCTCACGCCCAGGACCGGGGAGCTAAGAAGCGCACCCAGTTGGCCAGACGATCGGGATCGGGTTGCGGGCTAGAGAGCCCTAGCCCTGGGGATCTGGGGGGTGCGCGGTCGCACAGGGCCATAACACGTGTCTCCGAGGGTTAGCTCCGCGCTCCGGGTTTCCCTTCTAATAATACGAGAATACTCTCCGTGTTTGTTACGAACCCCCCCAATGAACACACCAGCGCGGGAGGGCGAGACGATCGTCGAGGGGTCCCGTACCATGCGGAATCGACCCTATCCAGTGCTCAAGTGCTCAATACTCTCCGGCCCGCAGGCGGATTTTGTATACGCTGCTAGATCAGGTGTAGACCACACACAGGTTAGCTGTCGCTGAGCTTCGTTGGTGGTCCGTAAATGGAAGAAAGCGGTCTCAGGGGTGGAGGTGGAACGCGGCACAGATCGCCGCGACATGGGGTTGTCCATGCGTCTCTCTACGCTAGAACTCTTTTCTTGGTGGGCTGTCGTGCCGAGTCCGGAACTTGGAGCACTTGGTCTTGCTCTTGGAGTTTGCCAACAAATTACCTACAACTTGGAAGAAAGAAAGAAAGAAAAGAGAGAACCCAAACGAGGGATGGGACGAGGACAGGGTCCCCACCTCGAGCAGGATTTTGGAAGGACGATCAGGGACACAGGGGAACGGGAGCGGGGAGCGCATCGCGACACGGAGGGAGGGGGGCTGGGCAGGGTTCACTCGAAGGGTTCACCCACACGACACAGGGTCCCAGGGATTCCCCTCTCGTATAGGACAAAGTTGCACCCGGCGGCACGGGGGCAGGCGCGGGCCTGGGCCTCCTCCTGGTTGCGTTCTCCTGTGACAAGGGAAGCCTTGGAGTGCACGATTGAGGGAGGTACCGCGAAATTTTACGCGTGAAGATTTCTCCTTGAGACAGACACGACGCGGCCGAGACCTGTCTGGTATAGCCCCAGCCGACTCCGCGTGAACTCTCGAGGGATCTCGAGTTGCGGAGCTCCCTGCTGCTCGGTGTACGAACTCTGTTCACAGCCTTGTTATTGAGAAGAAAATACCTCCTATGGCGCTGTGCGCTGGCCTGTGAGAGGTTGAGGTGCGAGCCCTGGAGGCCCTGGGGATGGTTCACAGCCTTGTTATTGAGAAGAAAATACCTCCTATGGTGCTGTGCGCTGGCCTGTGAGAGGTTGAGTTCACACCGAGCAGCTGGGAGTGGCTGCGGCTATAGCAGACAGGGCCGAGACAGGACACAGGAGACAAGACAGGAGAAGACAGGAGAGCACAGCCTAACCGACGAGCTCGTGGGTGCCATGGCAGACAGTCAGCGACTCGAGCTCGCGCACGGCACGTTGCGCCTCGTCGGCGGGCTAGTCGATCAGGCTGCCGCCGCCTTCTCCGTCAACGTGCCGGACGAGCTCAAATCGAAGCGGCATCAACGCGACGGCAGCGCCTCCCACCATGTCACTCTCATCAGCAAACACGAGGCTGATGCGATCGTCAGCCGGCAGGGTTGCACTCGTGATGAACACCTTCAAACTCTGCTGCAGCGCGTCGGAGGTCTCAGCTTCTCCTGGCGCGCACTTGGTCTCGGCAGCACCTCCTGTCAGGGTTCGCGAGCATTCTTCGTTGTGCTGGGCTGGCCCGAGCTCTCACTCCTTCGCGCCAGCTACGGACTCCACCCCTGCACATTGCACATCACCTGTGGCTTCATGCCGCGCGATGTCCACGGCGTCGCCAAGGGATGCCATTTCCTCTTGCCCGGGCTGTGCAATCGTGCAGCGCTGGACGTGTACGCAAGTCAACTCTCGCAGCTTGACACTCATGGCTATGAGCTGCCATCGGAACTTCGCCAGAAGCTCGCCGACGAGGCACTCATCGCGCAAGCTCTCGCTGACGAGGCCACCGCTCCTGCAGACGAGGGCTCCAGCACGGCGTCTCAGACGAGCCTGCAGATCGCCACGCTCCTCGCGGCTGCTTCGGAGGAGGACGTGCCGGCGCTGAGCAATGTGTTCCCGCCGCTGCCGCCGCTCGACGCATTAACCGCTCGCATCGGCTCGCAGGCTGCGCTGCGCAGCATATACACGCTCCCTAGCCTCGCGCGTTGCAACTGGGTGGTGCCCGGCAGGATCATGTGCGGCGACTGTGGCGCACTAGTGACCCACGCGCGTGAGCTCTGCGCCGCCGGCGTCACCACGATTGTCAACCTGCAGACCAAGGGAGAGAGAGATGCAGTGCCCTACCACCACGGCGTGCTCAAGCTCAACTCTGCGGCCAAGTTTGTGGAGCTGCCCATCAAGGACCAGCAAACGACCGACGATGCGAGGGTATCGGCGCTGGTCCTGTCAATCCTGAGCCGCGTCGGAGACGGTGAGGTCTTCTACATCCACTGCCGCGGTGGTCACGGGCGCACTGGAACTGTGTGCAGCATACTCCTTGGGGCAATTCATAGTCTCGCAGGGCAAGTGGCGCTGTGCACATTCCAGTGTCTGCACGATTTGCGCGCGCAGCCCTGCTTTCACGGCCACGGTGAGCCGAGAGACTTGTCCTTTGTCACTGCCCTCTTCGACGTGCAGAAGGCGCAAGTCTGCCGCCTGCTCGGAGGTGATGCGGAGGTGGCGCCAGCGCCACTGTGCCCCCAAAAGGACCTCAGTGCGATGTATGGCCAAGGCGCCTCTAAATATGATGAGGAGACGCTGCAAGAGTGGCAGTCTCGCGGCGTCGCTGCTTCCAAGGCAGCCAAGCAGCGCGATTGGACGGCCGCCTGCCTCGAATTTGAGGCATGCGTGAGCCTGCGCCCGGATTGGGAGAAGGGCGTTGCATGTCTGCTCAAGGCGCGGTCAAAGCGCCGCGAGGCTGCACAGGTGGACGGCGATGGCGGCCGGCGAATGGAGGAAGCCGTCACATCCGCCACCGTCGCCGCCACACCTGCCAGCAGCAAGCCCCTCCGGCGCCTGGGCGCGCACGTGCCCTTGTTTGTTGTGCTTGCGGGCCTCCCGGGCGCCGGAAAGAGCACCTTCGCCAAGGCGCTTGCGCACAGCCGCGAGGAGTGGCTCCTGATCGACTCGGATGAGACGGGCGGGAGGCGCGAGACAGAGGCGGCGGTCTGTGCCGGGTGCAAGTCGGTGACCGCCGCTGCTAAGCGTGGTGGCGGCGGCAAGCACAGCCGCCTCATCGTCGACAAGTGCAATGTTCGCACCGCCGAGCGTGCGTCGCTGCTCGCGCTCGCACTGCCACTGCTTCCCCAGAAGCCGGACACCACGGTCGTCTACTTCGCGACCGAGACGGCTACGTGCATCGAACGCGTGGCCTCGCGAACGGACCATCCGTCCATCCCATACGGGCACGGCCGCCCCGCGGTGCAGTCGATGGCCAAGGCGCTGGAGTTGCCTGCAGCGGTGGCCGCGGCGGCGCAAGCCAAGGAGGGCGCAGCGTGGAGGAGCGTGGAGGTGGACGGTCTTCGCTGGATCGTGGTGAACTCCTTCGAGCAGGTGAACGCTCTGCTCTCGAGTTGGGGGGCGGGGCCGGCAGAGGTTGCGCCGGCGGGCTTCAAGAAATTTCCGCGAACGCGCCACGTCCTCAACACCGGCGGCAGCGCGGTGACGCGGGACGACCTGGTCATGGATCCGGCAGATGCGCGCCGCTTCTATGATGGCATCACGGTCGTGTATGCGGAGGAGAAGGTTGACGGGGCCAATCTCGGCCTGTCACTCACTGCGGCGTATGAGATCAGGGTGCAAAATCGTTCGCACTACGTCAACGAGCGGACACACGCGCAGTTCAAAGCGCTCGGCCGTTGGTTGGATGAGCACGGCTGGGCGCTCTGTCGCCTTCTCGAGCCGGAGGTAGAAATTCTCTTTGGAGAGTGGTGTGCCGCAAAGCACTCGTGCGCGTACACGAAGCTCCCCGGTCTCTTTTTGGCCTTCGACCTCTACAACAAGCGGAGCGGCAAGTTCGCCTCTGTCGCCGAGCGCGACCGCCGACTCTCTGGCTTGGGCATCCCCATCGTACGCACCCTCGCGTGCAGAGCCTTTGCTGGCGAGGAGGAGCTGCTGCAGCTGCTGGAGAGCACCTCGGCCTACAGCGACGGCTTTGTCGAGGGATCCTATCTGCGCATCGACGGCGCGACGGAGAACCGTCTGCGCGGCAAGCTTGTCCGGCCGGACTTCATCCAGGGGATAGGCGACCACTGGGCCAGTGGCGGGTTCGCGCGGAACGGCGTCCGCCCCGATTTGTGGGTTGAGAAGGAGTAAATAAATAAATAAAAACGGATACCTCTCTACTGTGAGATGGGTAAAAAGGAACAGGCCCCCGCCCTTGCGATCTTTGTGCAGGGTTCTTTGTGGGTGTGGTCGGCGACTAGCCGGGGTCGTCCTCCCGATGGGGGACTAGCACTAGCCGTCTTCCACATGAGAAGGAGTAAGTGATAGGTCGGTCGGAATCCCCCAAAACAATTAAATTCCCTCTCGAGCGGAGAGAATTTGGGATTCGACTCCCGCGCAATCAAGTCATCAACGATGGTGCCAACGGCCAAAAAAGCGCCGGTAGCAAGCACGATGGAGGTGCGTCTTTCCCATGCTCGCGCGCCCCCCGCGCGCGAACTATGCATGGGCCCGGCTCGCCCGCTTGGGGATCCACCCGGCACACCCCCGCCCCCCACCTGCCGGCTTACCTGCCGTCAGTTCGCGCGGGATCGCCCACAACTGTCAGCAACTGAAATCCAGTTGCTTCAGCTGTGACTTCAGCCTCGCCTCACCGCTCTCCCTTCGGTCGCACGCCTCCGGAGAGAGGTCGCACACGACGCTGGTGACCATTCCCGACGAGCCATGCGCAGGTCGCGACCCCTGAGGACCTCCACACCTCCAAGGAGAAGCTCCGCGGCATCGGCGAGGCGACCGCTCTCTTTTCAGAACCTGCTAGGGCAGAGGCCCTGTCCACCCTGGCGTCCCTCGAGGGGTCGCCAGGGCCCGCCGCGGCCCTGGCGAGGCCCGTGGGCGGCCTGCTCCTCATCGACGCCTACGCCCTCGTCGGCCTGGCCGGCAAATATGCCAGCGGCGGGGGCGGCGCCGGCGATGCGGGTCTCATCTTTACCAGGTGGGTCGAGGCGATGGCCGGGCACGAGTCGCTCGCGCCGACGCGGGCGCTCCCGGCGCTGGCCACGCCGGAGACCAAGGCGAACTTCGTGAAGTACAAGCGCCGGATGACCGCGTACAAGGCGGACGTGGAGCGCGCGCTTAAGCGGCGCTCGACGGCCGTTTCTCGCCGGAAGGACCCGGCGGAGGCCGACCGCGAACTCGACCAACTCGTGCGGCAGGCGCACGTTCCTCTCCAGACCCTTTCGGACGCGGCCGACACGGGCGGCGGCGGCGGCGGCGGCGGCGGCGGCGCGTCCTCGCTCGATGCCGAGCTCGACGTGACGGCGCAGCTGCGCGCGTTTGCCGAGGGTTTGCACCCGCGCCTCGGCGCCGACAGCGCCGTCCACCTCTTGGAGGGCTGCCGCGACGTCCTCGGCTTGATCGCCGCCGAGGTGCGCGGCGCGCCTCCGCCGCGTGGGCGCGGCACGTCGCAGCTCCGGCAGGTGTCGCTGCTCCTCAACTATGAGCGGCGGCGGCGGCAGCTGAGCGAGGCGCTCGCCGACGAGCGGCGTGTCGAGCTCGAGCTGGCGGCGCGCCGCCAGCAGGCCGCCGTCGACGCCGCGCTCGCCGACGAGCGGCGGCGCTCCGCCGCGGCGTACGCGAAGCTCGACGCAGCGCTGCAGGCGGAGCGGCAGGAGACTGGGCGGCTCTGCACGGAGGTGCGGCGGCTCAAGGCGGCGGCGCGCGAGGCCGAGACTGCGGCGGAGCTGCGGTGCCGCAGCCAGGAGAAGGAGGCCGCGGCGCACTTTGGCTCCATCGCCTCAGAGGCCGAGCGGCGCGCCAAGGTCGCCGAGGCGCAGCGGGACGACGCGTGTGAGGAGGCGGCGCAGCTGCACGGCCTCTTCGCGCAGCTAGAGGACCAGCTCGACGCGCTGCGCTCGATGCGCGTCTCGGGGCTGCTCGAGCAGCTGCAGGCGAGCACGCGGCGCATCACCGAGCTCAGTGCGCGGCGCAAGGTGACGCAGCGCAAGCTCTCCGACGTGAACCTCGTCGAGCGCAACCTGGCGGTGTCGCAGCGGCTGCTCTCGGAGGAGCGGGCGGCCCACGCGAGCTTGTGGCGCGGAGACGCGACGGCAGAGAAGCTGGAGGCGGTGGAGGCGCAGTGCGCCAAGCTGCAGGCCGAGCTTGAGGCGGCGCAGGCCGAGGCCGCAAAGTTCAAGGCCATCGCCGAGCCCACCAAGGCGCGCTTCAAGCTGGGCAACCACTTCAACGCCGAGACGGAGCTTGCGTGCATCTCGGTGATGCACCTCGGCATCGCGCGGCAGAAGATCCCGAAGCTGTTCCCGATCTTCGCGCGGCTCTTGGGGGTCAAGCTGCCGTACCGCGAGATCAAGGTCCCCGGCCCGATCGTGGACGGCAAGCGCACCTCCGTCGTCAAGCGGCTGCCAGAGACGCCGCAGGCGACGCACTGCAAGGAGCTGGCGGGCGTCTCCTACGAGCTCAACAAGCTCCAGGTCGGCCAGTGGCTGCTGGAGTTCATGAACTCGGATGAGTCCTCGTGCTGCTACATCGCCGACGGCGCCGAGGCGCAGCAGATGGAGCGCATCGGCACCGTCCTCTCGCGGCGCGTCAACGGCAAACTCGAGCTGCGCGCCCTCGATTTGTCGACGGCCTCGAGCAAGACCGCCGAGGCGCAGGCGTCGGCGTACCACGAGTCGATCGAGGAGGTCATCAAGCTCATGGAGGAGGCCGGCCTCGCGGATGCGCGCGCGGCGGAGCTGCTGCGCCGCTTCCTCCCCACGTGCGCGTGCAACGACCGGGCGTCTACGGCGCGGCTCGCTGCGCGGCTGGTCCTCGGGCTGGGCGAGGGCGACGACGACCCGACCTGTGCGGAGCACGCGCTCGTCAACATCCTCGAGGAGGGGCGCAAGGCGATGGACGCCATCCTGCGCGAGCTGATGAACTTCACCGACGAGCAGGCCGCGGCGCACGCCGACAAGATCAAGGCGATGCGGACCTGCGTCGGCTGGTTCAGCTCGCCTGTCTGCGCGCTCATCTACCAGGCACCGTCAGCCCCGACCCCGCACCGCAGATCACTCCCACTCGCGCGCCAATCCCGCACCCCCCCGCGCCGCACGCGTAGGTGAGCAAGTACGTCGCGCTCTGCTCGACCAAGGGCTACGCCATCGGCCGCAAGCTGCAGGAGTGGATGGAGGCGCGGCTGGCAGACCTCGAGGAGCAGCTCGAGCATCTCGTGGGGCACGTGGAGGACGTGCTCGCGATCTGCGGCTCGCGCGCGTACGTCTTCTACCTCGACGCGGCGCCGACGGAGCGGCTGCTCACTGAGCACGACATCTCCATGCTGACCTACCTCGACGAGGATGAGATGCTCAAGGCTGCCGGCGGCGGCAAGCTGCGCAAGTCTATCCTCACCGGCGCGCGCTCGCCGCCCTGCATGGCGGGGGTGCGCGCCATGGCGCTGATCTGCGACGCGGTGTTTTGGCCGCTGATCCGCGCGGTCAAGCCAGCCGCGGACAAGCACGTCCTCGACGTGCTCCCGCGCGTGTGGCCGGCGGCGCACGCGTTTTTTGAGGCGGCCGCCGCGTCGCCCGCGGGCATCGTCGACGGCTCGCTCAAGCTGCAGCTCGGCGACGTTTCGGCGGCCGCCACCGCCGCTACCGCGCCAACTCCAACGCAGGCGCGCCGCGCCGAGCGCCATCGCCTCGATATGGTGCGCATTCGCGCCGCAGCGGCCGACGACCCGATGGTGACGCGCTTGCTGACGGCGGCATTCGGCGCGATGTCCCGGGCGGTCTGCAACCACGCTGCGGAGTGGATGCCGGCGGGCCTCGTCGCCACGAACGGCTCGATCACCAAGACCGGCAAGCTGTGCTCGGCGAACATCACCCCGGCGCTGCGCGCAAAGTACGACGCGCTGCAGGCGACGAGCACGCCGGTTGAGCGGCTGCACGCCGTCGGCCGCGTCAGCGACGACCGGCACAAGCGGCAGCGCAATGAGTCGCGCGCCGGCGACTCGCTCGGGCGCTTTAACAACCAAGCCGGCTGGCTGACGGGCGAGATCGATGAGCGCGGCGGGCTCAAGGTCGCCGAGACCATGCTTGCGGCGTGCCGAAAGGCGGCGGGGCGGGCGAGACGCGTTACGCTCAAGGCGCAGCTGGTCGCGGCGGGCCGCGCAAAGCGCGCCGAGCGCGACGAGAAGCTGGGCAGCAAGAAGGCGCGCAAGGCGGCCAAGGCGGCCGAGAACGCGCGCATCGCGCAGCTGCCGCTCGTGCGGCGCTACTCAGAGCTGAAGAAGCTGGCGATCGCCGGCTTGCAGGCGCTTCTCGGACGCTGTTGAGCGGTATACTAGTGCCCCACTACTCACGGCTCTCGTTTGTTGTAGGACCAGCTCAAGGCCTTCAAGCTGGCGGGGAAGACGGGCTTCACTGTCACGCAGGCGAACCGCGCGGACTATTGCACGCAGCTGCAGAACCTCCTCTTCGCCGCGCATGGCGTCGAGGCGAACGACCTCGAGGACGGCGACTCGGGGTGCGACGGCGACGGCGTGGTGCGGAAGGTGCGGCAGCGGCGCGTGGCGGGCGAAGAGGGCGGCGGCGGCGGCGGCGGCGGCGGCGGCGGGAAGAAGAAGAAGAGGAAGAGGGTCGATCTGCGTGAGCTCAACGGCTGGCAGTGGGAGGCGAGTGAGAAGTTTGACATCGAGCGCATTCTCGACAGCAAGGTGGAGACGGTCGGCAAGGTGCTTGCGCCCTCACACTCGCACCTGCCCTTGCTTATTGCCACTCCATCGCTCACGTGCCCGACCACCTCTCTTCTCGCCTCACAGGGCAAGAAGCGGGTCGAGATGACGTACTACTTGATCCTCTGGAAGGGGTACCCGCCGGACGTGTCGACGTGGGAGCCAGAGTCAGAGATACACGACGACTTGATCGACGCGTACGAGGCGGAGCTCGATGCGGCGTCTGAGCTGGAGGCGGAGGAGGCGGAGGAGGGCGAGGAGGGCGAGGAGGAGTGACTAGCGCGCGTCCTCCGCCCCCGTGCGCGTGTGTTGAGGTGGTGCGAGAGCCATTTGCGTGCGTGAGCGGTGCGGCCGGGTGTGTGAATGTGAACCGTGGGCCACTTGTGTTGAGGGATGGCAACCCATGTGGGTGCCTATGTGTTTCTTTCGAGCTAACGCACCTTGTTTTGCAGTTTCTATGCCGTGCTATTCACTTCCAAAAATCGACCCCCGGGACCCCGACCGACCTATAAGTGACGTGTGCGTGCTCTCTTTTGAATTGCGTCTTGTTCTTTTTCGCCCTGGGAGAGATGGGACATGGGAGTACAGCAGGGCTCAACCAGACTGAGACGAATAACAAACTGTGTGCTCACGAGTCACGTCGCGGTCATGTGCATGCACGCACTCGCACACGTCGCGGTCATGTGCATGCACAAAGCGGCATGCCCGAACATGCACACGTGGATCCGAAAACAAAGAGGGGTTAAGGAGGAGCAGGTAGTCTGCCTTGATAGAGGCCGAACAATACGTTGGGGCACACACAGCCCCCAATACCACACAGACAGAGCTGGCTAGGCCCAGCTTCAGTCGTCGTCTCGCTCTTGGATTACGGAGAGGCAGCGGAAGGCGCGGGAGCAGGGGCCGGGTGTTGGTCTTTTCGCCGGGAGGGGCGGTGAGGAGGAGCATCGGACGGAGAGAAGCGAGAGGTTGGGCTGCACCCAGGGCAGGCTTCCAATGCGCACGGTCAAGGCGGGCGCCCCTTCCGAGTTGGAGCGTCGGTGGCGGGGACTGACCAGTGGTCCACTGCAAGTGCCTGAGCGTCGATGGCGCGACGCTCGACGGTCCACGGCCGCGAGCGGCGGTGTCGCTTGCATCGACGGCATTGACATTACGTTCGGTGCCCTGTTCAGACTTTGCTTTCCTTGTGTCGTTCGCGAGGCTTCGCGCCCTTATCTAGACTTACGACGAAACGTCAGATCCGATCCACGCGCGAAGATGCGAAAAGAAGTAACTCGCCGCTAATGACCGCACTCCAAGGCGCCTGACTCAAAAGACACCGCCACATTCCTGAGACACGCGAGGGCAGCCTCCTTAAAGGCAATGGGCTCTAGATTCGGAGCGCTCGCCGAAGAAAGAGGAGTACGACAAAATAGCGCCCGTGATTGCCTGCACGCTGCCCGCACTCACGGACTCCATACCCGAAAGAAAGAGAGGGGAGTTCGCGGGAGAGGTGACGAGAGAACTACAGGTAGTGGGGAAGGCAGCCTCGATCGCCATACTGACATGGATGCGAAACAACGACAAGACCAAGGCAAGGGCAGAGGAACGAGAGAAGAATATAGGGTGGATAAAGCGCCTGTTCACGGCATGGAGGGTGAGCCAAGCCGAACGTACCGAACGTAGAGCCGAACGGGAGGAAGCCGGGGAAGACGACTCCGAGGAGGACGAACCAGTGGAAATCCCGCCGTCAGCTGTCACGATGCACCCGAAGGGGACCCCAGCGCCAACATCATCTGTGGAAGGTACAAGTGTTCGAAGAGAGAGTGGACCTGAGCAATGATATGACTTGGCGGCAAATGATCGCAGTGGGCGTCAGAGGAGTCATCCTTGCGCGAGGAGAGCTCGATAAACTCGAGGGGCCAGGATATGCAGCAAGGAGGGCGGAGTTACGCCGAGAGGCGAGAGAAGCCGCGAGAGCAAGGGATCGCCAGGCAGCGGCGTCGTCGCAGAACGAGGCAGAGGGGAGCGACGCGACAGAGGAGGAAGCGACAGGAGAGAGAACGACGAGAGTGGGAAGACCGCGAGGTGGCACGAAGGTTGAAGTGCACTCCAAGATGCGGTTTCGCTTTGATGGCACAGCCCATGGATTCAGGAGGATTGACGATTGTGACTTGTGATCTCATAATCTTTTCTTTCTTTCTTTAGCTGCTCATGCATGCCTAGATGCATGCTGTGACCTAAAAAAACGGACACTCTGTGTGAGATGGGTAAAAAGGAACAGCAGGTCCCCACCCGTTGCTGATTGCTGTGACCTGTGTGTGCGTGTGAAATTCTTTCATGAAAAGACTAAACACCGCCAACACTGACAGCTCTGACCACCGACTTTACCCGATCCCACCGCGTCGGCTGCCGCCTCGAGTCCTCGAGAGCGGGCTGCGCGGCGAGGGCGCGCTCCGCCGCGAGGAGCGGGTCGTCATGTGCCAGCGCCGCAAGCTTCGACGGATCGAGAAAGGGCGGGCGCGGCGTCTCGCGCGCGGGCGGGGCCTACAACCGTCGCGCGGAAACAGTGGGTGGCGCGCTGCCTGCCGAGAGAGGTCTTGGCGGCGGTCCACCTCGGCGGGAATCACGATGCGCTGCGGCCACAGCAGCCGCTCGGCAACGGCACGCTTGATTGTCTTTTGCACCTCGGTACGTAACCACGGCAGCCTCGTCACTTCGCCGCCGGCGACGCGCACCTCGAGGCCGATGCTCGGCGCGGTGGGGAAGGAGAGCAAGAGAGCGCCGAAGCCGGGCGCCGTCGACTGCAGCCCGGTCACCACCAGCCGCACTGGCCCCGTGAACCGTAAGTTGTGCAGCGTGACCGGGACGCGCGCGCCCACGCCGGCCGACACGATCTCGACCCTGGCGGTCAGGGAGGAGGCCCAGTCCATCTCCACATCGACCGCCAACGCGTCCTCGCCCAAGTCGTACATTCGCGCCGCCGTCAGCCGAGGCAGCTCCCGCCCCACCTTGAACTGCTTCAGCCGCGCGCTGCGCACGGGGTTGTTGCTCTGCGCAAAATCGGCGAGCGCCTGCTCGAGCGCCGCCTCCATCTTAGGCACCAGCGCGCTGGGCAGAAGTCGATCGAGCGCATACTGCAGCGGGCGCAGTCCGGGTGCGCCGACGGCCGCGGCGTACAGCCGAGCCTCCATCTGCACTGCCTGGACGCCCTCGGCAGACGCCTTGCGCGCCTCGGCAAGGCCCTCGCGGAGCGCCTGCCACGCGTCGGCCCACCGCGTCTCCGAGCTTCCAAAGAGGGCGCTCCGCGTTGCGCCCAGCATGGCGAGCAGCAGCTTGAGCACGCGTCGCATCACCACGGCAAGTAGCGCCGCCGCGAACCGGACGTTGCTCCAGCCCACCGCGTAAACGGCGCCTGCCGCCGTCACGGCAGACGTGAAGAAGAGGCCACCGCATACAAAGGCGAGGGCGAGTGGCCAGGCGGCAGGCCGAGAGAGTACGGCGGCGGTCGATGCCGTCTCGTGGATGAGCGCCTTCGGCGGCCGAGCACGAGCACGAGTTGGCGGAGGGAGGTGGCTGAGGCGGCTGCACACGGCAGAGACAGCAGCAGAGGAGGTGGCGATGCCGATGGCGGGTGCACGAGCAGGAAGCAAGAATGACGGGGCGTAGAGGACGGAGATTGGTGTCATTCCGGTTGCGGCGATGGCGCGATTTTCGCGGCGACAAAAAATTCGCAGTGTTAGCTCGAGAATCCGGTCCGCAGGGTCTGCGGCGCGCTCGGCCTGAGGGAGCAGTACGACGCGGCGGTGGCGGCGGGCGAACTGCTCGAGCTGCTCGAGAGCTTGCCGCGAGGGGCGGTCGAAGCGCCTCCATACGGCTCGCATGCGGGGATACACCCGCACGGGCGAGTGGACCAAGCCCATCCGACCTAGCCCTGCCCCGGAGCGCGGCCGATCGCGAAGAAGCCCATCTGATGAGTGGTCAGATGATTAGATAGTGCCCGAGAGCGAGGGATCGGGAGGGGAGCACAAATAGGACGCCCAGCCTTGCCGAGTGCGTATCCTATTGCGAGAGAGATCCCCTGTGCCCTGTGCCCAGCCCTCTCCGCGCCGCGATGCCCCCCCCCCACGCAAGCCGAGGGCCGACAAAGGGGTGCCGAGAGGCCCGCGAGCCCTCAAAGGCACAAAGGCCTACCAGATCGGGCACCTCAGCCTACTGCGGTTTCGGCACAGGCGCGAGAGGCAAGTGTCACAACGGACCCTCGACGCGGTGCGCGAGGCGCAGGGAGCCGGGGTCGAGCCGTGGAACACGGCAGAGCACGACAAGGCCGTCCACAATCCAGCGCCCGAAGGCGGGACGACGAACTCGATGGAGAGCGAGCCGCCGGAGAGCGAGACGTGCGACGACGAGGGGGGCGACGAGAGAGACAAGAGCGCCTCGGCGGACGACGAGATGGCATTTATCGACGATGCGTTCTTCGAGCTTCCCGACGCGGCAACGGAGGGAGAGGCGGAGGGCGGGGGAAGCCAGAGTCAGTACAGCCAACAGAGCCAGGGGGGCGAGAGCGAGGGGAGCCAGAGCAGCCAGGGCAGCCAACGGGCGCGCGCGAGGAGAGAACGGCGGAACCAGCTCGCGGCGCAGCGGTTCATGGATCGAATACGATTCGAACTTCGGCTCGGGCACAGGGGGACCGAAACTAGTCAAGCCTGCGCCGGCCAAGACAACGACGACACAGCAACGAGGGCGCAAGGAGCGACGACGAGGAGACACCCGACCGCGCAGCAGAGCAAGGACCGAGCGAGCAACCACCCGAAACGGGCCATCCGAACGATGGCAGCCAGGCAGACGACGAGTTTACAGTTATGGACATGGACGAAGAAAAGCCAGAGGACGAGACATCCCATTCACCGAGGAAGCGGGGGCGGTTTGAGAACGAACGTAGCGATTCAGTGAGCCAGGGAGAGGGGGCGAGCCAACAGCACACAGAGGACGGGGGCCGATGACGTACGGGGCGAGGAGCGCGCACGCACTGCAGAGGACGAAAGGCACGAAGGCGCCCCCCCACCGGGTGGGTGCGGGAAAGCGACAAGCGAGGGGCAAGGCTTGGACAGCAAGCGCGCAAGAGACGGAGGGCCAGAGACGGGAGAGAGGCAAGTATTAGGGGAGGCGGCTTGTAACTGAGGTTCGCCTGCGGAGACAGCCGCCTCCCCGAGTGGTGATTGTTGTTCATAACGATAAACTTGTAATCACGATCCGATGCGAGGACGCAAGTCCACCGACCTCGGCCATTCCAACGGCCAGACCGCTCGCTTAAGGCTGATTGGCTAGACGAGCGGTCTAGCTACCTCCACGGGGCTGTTGGCGCAGGGGGAGGTGTCAATCACGCTCCCGGGACGCCGGAGAGATCGGGTTGGTCTCCCCCGCCTTCAGCCCTGACCCGAAGGGGACGCCACCTCCCTCGCCCAGGGATCTACAATGCTGTCTTAAGGTCCGACCTGTGGGCTCTGCCTGCGCTCGGCACCGGGCACCGCCTCGGTATACACAAAAAATGCGCCTGCGGGCGGACCCTTATGTGAGAACTGTTTGGCTAGACGTCGCGAAGATTGCGCTCAAGAAGCAGCAACGAGAATCGGAAGAGGAGGATGCTGAGCGGCGATTGCTGAGCATGAGGAGGGTCGATCCGGATTAGTACTTCAGACGCCCGCCGCAGGCGAAGAAAATTTGGGGGCTAGCGCCGTATCGTTGATCACGGTGGGAGCCAGGCCGTGCCACGGACTTAGCCCGTGTACTGTAAGAGGCTCTCGCTGATCTTAGACCGCGTAAGCACCCCAGCGTGACTAGTCACACTTAGACCCGCCAAGCCTTGAGGCTCAGAACTTAGACTACTACCCAAGTCCCAACCAGTTTGCAAACGATCCTGCAATGTGCAAACGGGTGGGACGTGTCTCTGTCTGTCCTCGACCCAGCCCTAGCTTGGGATGTCCGTTTTATTTATTTATTATCCGGCAGCTCCTCCAACCAAGAACCATGGTAATTGTAAACGAATTTCGGAATTTACGAATCTGTATCTCCACCCCTCACCCTGCCTAGACCCACCTGCCTATATTATAGTAGCGGCTCTCTCTCCCAATATCTCCCCCACAGAGCACAGTTCTCAGTCACATTGGTTTGAGCTGTTGTTCTACTGTACCAGGTCGTACAGAGGAAGAGAGGCCCGGTATGCGCTATGCCTATGGGCCTAGATGCCACGCGAACCGCGCAGCTCGGCCGTGCAACATGTTGTGCATGTGCATGTATCTGAGTCGGGAATATCCCAGATCGCGGATGTAATGAGTAACAGATCACATATCACACTGCGGTGTGGCGCGGCTGGTGGCGCCTCTCGCCGCGGATACCCGCGAAACAAACCGTCCAGTCGCCATGTGCCTGGCAAAAGTCGCGCATGTGTACAGCATGTACCGGAAAGCGCGATCGTTCCCCTCACATCATGACCGTGACGGACTCTTCGCCCGCTCTGCTGCTGCTGCTGGCGCGTGTGGCCGACATCCGTCGTGGCCGCAGCTCAGCTCTCACAGTCACGCCCTGGCCTTGTGCTCCTTGCGCTCGAGCTCGCGGAGGATCATGGCCTTGATCGCCGGCTTGCGCTCGCCTCGCACCTCGACATCGAACTTCTTCTCGAGCCGGTCGAGCGCGTCGCCAAAGGTCTGCCGGTCCGTTCGCACCTTTGTGAGCCATGAACGGATCTCGTCCTTGAACTTGCGCTCGAGCGACTCGCCGCCGTCCGCGGCGGGCGCCTTGGGCGCCTCCTTGCGGGCCGCCTTGGAGGCGCGCTCGGAGGTGGCAGCGGACTCGGCCGCCGCCGGAGAGCCCGCGGCGGGCGGCGGCCCGTCGAAGAGGTTGGTGCGCGGGGCAGGCGACTCTGCGGCGGCGGCGCCTTCGCCCTCGCCGCCGAGCGACGGCGGCAGGACGCGCGGCTTCTCGCGCGTGACCTCGTCGGCGAGCGCCTCGGCGACGCAGGCCTCGTCGAGCTTGCGCTTGCCGCGGTCCGAGGGCGTCTTGCGAGGGACGGCGCCAGGCGCCTCGGGCGAGGGCTCGTCGATCCGGTCGAGCATCTCGCCAATGTCGATCTGGCCGCCG